TGCGCAGCGCCACCCCGACCAGCTCCACCTCCTCCGCCGCCTCCTCCTCCACCGCCGCCACCTCCGCTCCCTCCGCCACCGCCGCTGCCTCCTGCGCCTCCACTGCCGCCACCTACACCTCCACCCCCGCCACCACTCCCACCGCCACCACCACCTCCTCCACCACCTCCACCGCCGCCTCCACCGCCCCCGCTAGCTCCTCCAGCGCCCCTGCCCCCCTTGCCCCTGCCAGGGCGGCGTCTCCCGCTAGGGGTAGACGCTGCCCCAACCGACTCCAAACCAGCGAGGTCGGCCGTAGCAGCAGAGGCAACAGAGGGCAAAAGAGGGGAGGGGGAACACCCCTCAAAGATGGGGGTGCGAGGGTCACCACGAGAGGCTCCTACAGCGACTATGCTCTTTTCTGCTGCTAGGAGGGCCTTCTCGAGGAGGTCAACGGTGAGAGTGGTGGGACAAACCGAGAGGAAGTGGTCCCTGACTACGCGAAGGGAGTCAGGGAGACGGGTGACGATGTAGTAGAGGGTGATGTACATGGGGGGGGGGTTCTTGGCGCAGAACTCAGCAGGAAGTGCAGCGCGGTAGCGAGTGTCACTAGTGCGGAGGTGCGTGATGAGGTCAGCGACTGTGGGAAAGGCAGCAAGGTCAGGGAAGAGGTACGGTAGCATGAGGCGGCTCAGTGCAGCAGTGGCAGGGGAGGAGTAGCGTGCAACTACAGCGTCGTACAAGGTCTGGGCACTCTTGTACTGGCTAAAGTGCGCACGCTCAGAGGTAGGCAGGTGGCGACGCACAGCAAGACGTGCAGCAGCATCGCGCGTGGCCCACTGGGAGCGAACAGTTGCGTCAGCATCAGTGGCGGGAGCAGGAGAGGCACCAGAAGTGAGGTCAAAGAGGGAGAGGCCGTCTGCCCTATCGCACTGTAAGAAAAGCTGCAGGTCATCTATCCAGACGTCAAAGTCAATGGCCCGACCCTCAGCGTCAAAAGCGAGGACACTAGGGGTAGCCATGACAGTAGTAGACTAGCAGCGCAAACAGTGGGGTGAGGGCAGTGCTGTGAGAGAGGCGCTGCTCTTACCGGACAGGGCGGCTCGGGAGGCTCGGCTGCAGGGCGGCTCGGCGACTCGGCTGCTGGGCGGCTCGGCTGCTGGGCGGCTCGGCGGCTCGGCTGCTGGGCGGCTCAGCGACTCGGCTGCTGGGCGGCTCGGCGGCTCTGCTGCTGGGCGGCTCGGCTGCTGGGCGGCTCGGCGGCTCGGCTGCTGGGCGGCTCGGTGGCTCAGCTGCTGGGCGGCTAGGCTTGCTGGGCGGCTCGGCGGGGCCGCTGAGAGGGCGGCGTCCGGGGCCGCTGGGAGGAGGCGGCGGGGCCGCTGAGAGGAGGCGGCGGGGCCGCTGAGAGGAGGCGGCGGGGCCAGAAAGGTAGGTGGCGGGGCCGCGTCAGGGGCCGCGACAGGGGCCGCGTCAGGGGCCGCGTCAGGGGCCGCGGCAGGGGCCGCGTCAGGGGCCGCGGCAGGGCCGCGTCAGGGCGGCGCGTCAGGGGCCGCGTCAGGGCGCCGCCAGGGGCCGCGGCAGGACCGCGTCAGGGCCGCGTAAGGGGCTGCGGCAGGGGCCGCGTCAGGGGCCGCGTCAGGGCCGCGTCAGGGCCGCGGCAGAGCCGCTTCAGGGCCGCGTCAGGGGCCGCTTCAGGGCCGCTGCAGGGGCCGCAGCAGGCCGCGTCAGGACCGCGTCAGGGGCCGCGGCAGGGCCGCGTCAGGGCCGCGGCAGGGGCCGCGTCAGGGCGCCGCGTCAGGGGCCGCGTCAGGGCGCCGCCAGGGGCCGCGGCAGGGCCGCGTCAGGGCCGCGTCAGGGCCGCGTCAGGGGCCGCTTCAGGGCCGCGGCAGGGGCCGCGTCAGGGCCGCGTCAGGGGGCGCGGCAGGGCCGCGTCAGGGCCGCGGCAGGGGCTGCGTCAGGGCGCCGCCAGGGGCCGCGTCAGGCCGCGTCAGGGCCGCGTCAGGCGCCGCCAGGGGCCGCGTCAGGGCACCACCAGGGGGCGCGTCAGGGGCCGCGATAGGGCGCCGGCAGGGGCCTCGTCAGGGCGCCGCCAGGGGCCGCATAGGGGGCGCGTGGGAGGCGGCGTAGGGGCCGCGTAGAGGCAGCGTAGGGGCCGCTAAAAAAAAAATTTAGGGCAGGGCGCAATGTGCGCGGGCAGCTAAAAAAAAATTCTTATGGTGGGCCCTTAGGAAGGAACGGTCCCATGTAGGAACCCGCTCTATACCATGTGAATCAAGAAAAACAGGAATGAGAATGACTAAGTGAAAGTTGGGTACAAGAAGCAAACCCTAGAAAACTGTACCCCATATGTGCTACCCCACTCTAGCCTACAGTAGCTATGTCATATAAATCTAACATGCTATTATCAATCTTAGTCATTTTACATTCACTCTGTCCTGGGTTCAACACTTCCGCTGCAACACTACCCTGCGATCAACTCTGAGCGATCCTTCGCTAAGTCCCACTTGGGATTGTAACAATCATGTATGTACATATCTCGTCGTGGGTACAGTGATTACGTGTTTTGACGATGAAAAAGGCTGTAGGAGTTAAACACCCCCCGCACAAAATGGTAAATAGGAACGACACAAAACAATTTGGACTTGACGATGAAAAGGGTCCTCACCTCCCGTAATCAGCCATAGTGACATGTGGGAATGGTGATGCGATAGCGAACTTTAGGAGAAAGTCCACACAAGCAAGTGGCAAGTGAAGGCATGAGCAGAGGGGAAGGGGCTCGTACCGCGAGATATTATTGGAGACGAGCGTCGGTGCGGTTCATTTGAGATCGGTAAGGCCCGATAGGGCTCGGCCGCATCCTCGATACAGCTGTGAAATGTTTTCGCGATGGTGAATGATTATGGAGGAAAACAGTGAACAACATTACATTTCCCAAGCACACTTCTTTTACAACTCAACACAATCTGTCCCTGTAACAGAAGCGGAATGTCACCAAAGCGAGACATTCACCCTCTTCGCTTCTCCAGCTGCGTCTCCGCCATTCAAGCAGGCGAATAGGGCGATCCGTGCACTCAACCTTGCATGAACTTTAGGTCATAACTTGAAGCAGAATTAATTGGCGTTGCAGCATGTCTCTGCCGAGCCAAGTCCGTGTCGTTTAATCGACTTGCGAGTGACCCCAGGTGCTCGGCTCCGCAGTAAACCAAGGGAGGGAAGCCATCATTTACTTTCACTTAACACCGCGTATTAGTTGTGTTCGACCCAGCCACGGTCTCGCAATCTCGGCGTAGAGTGTGGGGGGAGGGTGGTAGCATGGCCGGCGAATTTAGCGACGTTCGCGAAGGATTCGATTGGGTCCGCGAAGAGCTGGTCCGCGTGTTGAAGAGCCGGCGACGCCCGCTCGAGGGTGAGATGCGGGAAAACCACGGGGGAAGTTTCGAGGAAGGGCTGGGAGGAAGTGAGCGGAGATAGGAAAGGAAGGGAGGCTGAGAAGGAAGAAGAGGACAGGGACGGAAAGAGAAGGGGTTAGGGGAACCATAAGTTAATGTGGGACGCGAAAAAACGCATAAGACGAGATTGTCCCGTGTACGGTGTCCTTAATTTTGTGTCATTGCTTCTGAGCCGATGGACTAATATAAGGCATTGTCCCACCACTTCCCCATCATGCAATGATGGCATTCACACCATTCATGCATGCATGATGGTTACAAGTGCCACACTGCCCCATACCACGCCTCAAACTGGCTTCTTGGTTTCTGATCCAATTAATGGATATAATCGGTTCCTCAACCCCGTCATGCAATGATGGCATTCACGCCTTTCATCCGCGCATGAAGGCATGATGGGCTACTACACTGCCCCATAACATGGCTCAAACTGGCTTCTTGAATCAATATTTCTCAAAACCATCATGCCATCATGACACATCTCCCTCCCTTTCTCTACTGGATGCAGCTCGTGGATTTGAGGAGGCGAGCTGGCAGGAGAGCAGTGAGACACTGGCAGGTGTGACTGTAGGAAGGGAGATTTTAGGAGGGGTGATTTTAGGAGGGGTGATTGTGGGAAGGTTTATTGCAGGGAAGGGTGATTGTAGGAAGGTTGATAATAGGAAGGGTGACTGTGGGAAGGGTGATTGCGGGAAGCGAGATATTAGGAGGGATGATTGTGGGAAGGGTGATTGTGGGAAGGGTTGTTGTGGGAAGGGTGATTGTAGGAAGGGTGATTGTAGGAAGGGTGATTGTGGGACTCCAAGCATGCATGCATTGCATGATGATCATCTCCTCACCTGCTTTTTTCACATGCATTGCATGATGCTCCGAATCTCCTCACTCATCTCCTCTCTAATCTCCTCTCTCTTCCCTCCTCTCTCGTCCCCTCTCATTTCCTTCCTCTCTGCTCCTCCTCCTCATCTCTCCCAACGGCGTGTCTTCATCCACTTGCTGCCCGAGGCCCTCTCTCCTCACTGTTCATCCAACAACGTGTCTCCTCTCCTCCCTTACCTTCACCACCTGCTTATCATCCCTCCCTTCCAGTAAACGGGCTGACTTTTGAGTCGACTCAAAAGTCAGCACTCCACCCTTACCCTCACCGCCTGTTTCGCATCCCTCCCTTCCAGCAGACGGTCGCATCCTTGTGCGTCAAGAGATTGATCTGCTTACCGAGGTAACGCTTGGGGAGAGAGCAGGCGAGCACAGGTTAGTGGTGAGACGAGTGATACTCACCTGTTCTTTCCTACCAGGTGAGTGTCACTCGTCTCACCACTAACCTGTACATACCCAGCGCAGCACAGGACACAGAGGGTGATTGCAACACATGCGAGGGTGTCTCATTGCGCTTATAAAGGGTGCTTGAAACGCCTTTGTCTGTTAAAAGTAGGCCTTTCTTGATCAGATAAAGAAAATCAGCTCTGGACTGCACGCTTGGCTTGTAGTAGTAGGCCTTTCTTGAGTCAAAGCCTCAGGCTTTGCATGTGCTTCCCCTGCGCCTGTTTGTGTCTCCGTTTTTTGCAGCCGTTTTCTGATATGATGCCTCTCTTTCCCTCTTTGCTCTCCTTTTCACCACCTCTCTGTCCTCTCCTGCTTCGGCCTTCAACCCTCGTGTCTCTTTTTCCCACCTCAATGTCCTCTCTTCCTGCTGCTGCCTTCAACCCCCGTGTCTCCCTTTTCCCCACCTCGTCCAACCTCCTTCCTGCTTACCTCCCCTTACCCCCGTTCTCCCCTCCACGCACGCACGAGTGCATGGAACAGGAGGGCGAGCAGGGCCGCATGCCTGTCACTATAATGAGTCTGCTTGTACCGGAGCACAACGAGCCACAACAGCAGCAGGCAGAAGGGCATGGGAGGAGGGCGGCAGTGATTCTGCTACACAGCACGGGCAAGAGCAAGGAGGCGCTGCTGGAGCGGCAGAAGGTCTGTTAGTCGCTTCTGCACCCAGACTCCCACTCAGACACCCACCCATTACCTTTCTTCCTCTATTTCCACCCCTCTGCGTGCAGGAGCTGGCGTGTCTCAATCTCATCGCCATCACACGTGACCTTCACTACCATGGCGCACGTGACTCCTTCCCCCCCTGTCCCCTCTGCCCCTCCTCTCTCCCATTCCATTCAATGGCAGGATCTGGCGTGTCTCAATCTCATCGCCAACACTCGTGACCTTCGCTACCATGGCACTCGTGCTTCCATGCCATGCTGCTTACTCTCTCTCCCCCCCCTCCTCTCCCCCATACCTCCTCCGTTCTCTCGCCTTTTTTCCTGCATCCCTTCCTTTTCACCCCTCTGAATGCAGGAGCTGGCGTGTCTCAATCTCATCGCCATCACACGTGACCTTCGCTACCATGACACCCGATTCCTCTCAATGACTTAGTTTGAGGCCATGCCACTTACGCTCTCCCCACTCCCCTCCCTCCATTTTTACCCCTTTTCACCCCTCTCCATGGCAGGAGCTGGCGAGTCTCAATCTCATCGCCATCACATGTGACCTGCGCTACCATGGCGCTCGTGCCTCCTCTCCTGCTGCATACTCCGATGTATGTTCAACACACACACGTCCCCCACTTCTCCTCACCTCCCTCCAAGTTCAACTTTCCCGCCTTCCTCCCTCCTCCTCTCCTCCCTCCTCCCCTCAAATGTCATTTTCTTCGAAGCTCATTTGAGGCGCCTCAAATGTCATTCTCTCCAAAACTCTTTTGAGGCGCCTCAAATGTCGTTCTCTCCGAAACTCTGTCTCTCATCGTAAGCTCCTTCCTTCAATAGTATCACACTCTCATATCTCACCTTCGACCTATGCCTTCGCCCCTTCACCTCCGCCCCCTCTCTCCTTCACCTCCTGCCTCTCTCTTTCCTACCTCACCTCTTGCCAGGCATTGGTCAGGGCGTGGAGGACAGGCCAAGAGATGCCGTTCCTCTTCGATCCGGTACTTGCTAGCTGCCTTTCAGGTGCAATTTCAAATGTTCAAGGCTGCCTGGCTTTCAGGTGCTTTGTTGAAGCCGTTCAGGTGCCTCATACGCACTCTGTTATAGACTCCTAATTGTATTTCCCCTCATGAAATTGCCAATAGTGTCGCTATCCTGTCTCCGTTTTGCGTAGGCGCCTAAAAAGTGTACTCATAGGCTCTCTGCTACATGCAATCTGACGGCCATTCAACTCACATTGATACCGTACATCCCTCTTACCCGTTTATGATTGTTCCTCTCATTCCTCACCTCACGTCTCCAACCGTTCCGCTCCCGCTTTTCATCCCCCCCATCCAGGTGTGGGACGTGCTTCCCCTGGTGACACTGGCACCATCGACCCATTCCTTCCAGTTCCTGGCACTCACCGCCTCACTCCTCCTCCCCATCCCCCCCATGCAGGTGTGGGAGGTGCTTCCCCTGGTGGACTATCTCACAGCCGTGCACACCCACACCATCGCCACTCGCCCACTCCTGCATGTTCCCCTCGCTGCCTCACTCCTCCTCCCACTTGCCACCATGCACGTGTGGGATGTGCTGCGCTTCATGGACTGTCTCACAGCCGCTCACACGGACCCCATAGGTCCCTCTCACCCACTCTTTCCTCTTTGTCACATAACTATCTTTCCCCTGCCTTAATCCTCCTTCCATTTTCCCCAATGCACGTGTGGGATGTGCTGCGCCTCATGGCATCACCGGTGTCTCCCTTGGTGCAGATGATCTCACAGCCGCTCACACTTACACCATCGACCCATCGCATCGCCATCACCGGCGTCTCCCTTGGTGCTGTGCGTTCCTTCTCCCCCCTTTACCCTTCGTTGCCATGCAGGTGTGGGATGTGCTACGCCTGCTGGATTATCTCACAGCGGTCCACACTGACTCTATCCACCCCTCTTGCATTGGCATCACGGGCGTCTCCCTTGGCGGTATGCATGCCTCTTCACCTCCCTAGCATTCACTAGCATTCCTGAGCTGACAATCCCATTCTTTTGCCACCATCCACCTTCCACAATGTGTCTATCCGTCCTCCTCCCATTCCCCCACCGTCAGTTGCGGTGGCATGTTTTTTTTGGTTAATTTTGAGAATTCTCAGCACCAACCTCGTTCACCCACCATCAGGTACGGTTGCATGGCTGGTTGAATATTAAGTCGGCTCAGAGTCAAAGATCTCTTTGCGTCGTCACGTGCCACTCCCTCTCCCCAATCGCTGTCTTTTGAGACGACTCAAAAGTTGGTGGCATGGCTGGTTGACTTCAGAGTCGGCTCAGAGTCAAATGTCTCTCTACCTCACCTGCCACTCCCTCTCCCCAATCGCTGTTGGATCCTCCACCCCTTCCCCCCACCAGGCATGGTGGCATGGCTGGCTGCTTCAGCAGACCCTCGGATAGCAGCGGCTGCTCCCATGATAGGCGTGCAGGTGGGTGGGGAGTGGTGAGAGCAAGGAGTGCAGGTGGGTGGGGAGTGGGGAGAGAAAGGAGTGTAGGTGGGTGGGGAATGATGTGAGATTGGCGTGCAGGTGAGAGCATAGCCGCCACAGCACTCCTCCAGATAGCAGCGGCTGCTCCCATGATAGGCGTGTAGGTGGGCGGGGAGGAGAGGCGTGTAGTTGGGTGGGAAGTGGGAGTGCAGGGGAGGGGAGTGGGGAGTACAGGGGAGTAGGGAGTGCAGGGGAGTGGGTAGTGCAGGGGAGTGGGGAGTGCAGGGGAGTGGGGAGTGCAGGGGAGTGGGGAGTGCAGGGGAGTGGGGGAGTGCAGGGGAGTGGGGAGTGCAGGGGAGTGGAGTGGGTGGAGAGAGGCATTAACGCTTAGCTGAGAAGGTGCGGTGGTGCGATGATAAACGCGCAGGTTGTGAGTGGTGAGGTGGTGAGGTGGTGAGGTGGTGAGGTGTTGAGGTGGTGAGGTGGTGAGGTGTTGAGGTGGTGAGGTGGTGAGGTGGTGAGGTGGTGAGGTGGTGAGGTGGTGAGGTGGTGAGGTGTTGAGGTGGTGAGATGGGAGAGGGGGACGTGATGGACGGTGATTGTTTTTCCACAAAATCGCCCATCTCCCCCCTCGCTTCCTCCCTTCCTCCATTCCTCCTCTCCTCCTCCAGTGCTTCCGCTGGGCGGTCGACAACAACTGCTTCCACGCCCGAGTGGCCTCCATCCCCCACGCCTTCAACGGTAAACAATCTTTCAGCCCTTTTACTTGCTTACATGGTTCGTTTCTTTTGCGGTGGCGCGGTGGCTTATCTGCTTCTTAGCTTGTCTTCGATTTCCGCTCCTATTCATTTTTACCCTCACCCTATGGGTCATCCTATGGGTGGAGATGGGGCATGCAACGAGTGCAATGCAGTGCTGTGTTGGACCTGCAGTAACTAGTAATGATTGTACGACATGGCTTGTGCTTACCCTCTTCTTTGTTTTTGTCATTCTTGCCTGCTAATCGTCTCACCTCAACAGCAGCAGCAGAGGACATGGGGAAGGCACACGTGGATGCTGAAGTGGTCACAGCAGTGAGCGTTTTTTATTATTTTGTTTAGCATTTTTACTTTCTTTCTGTCTTCTTTTTTCTGCTGGTTGATTGCTAACTAACAATGTCCTCATTTTATGCTTCATTTTGTTTTTCCTGATCACTTCATTGCTAGGTACATGACGCGTTACACCTGCATCACTATCTCCCTATCCTTACACCCAATCCTTGCTCCCCAGTACCCCTTATCCCCTGCCTGTCCCTCTCACACATCACAATCCAGCAATTCCGCCCATCCTCACCCTCATCCCCCTCCTGCACCTCCCCCCCCTTCAAGCCCAGGTGTGGAACCGGATTAACCCTGCCCTAATCCTCCCCCGTGTTCTTTACATCCCCACCCTTAAACCACCACCCTTCCCCCTTAAAGCTCAGGTATGGAACCGGATTACCCCTGGGTTACTGCAGCGGTTTGGCCCTCACAACTCCCTGCCTGCCATTTGCCCCCGCCCACTGCTCATTCTGAACGGTATGCCTGTGGTTTCAGTGCCTCATTGCAACCAAACGGACTCGTCGCAACTCCCTCCGAGCCATCTACCCCTACCTTTGCTTAATTTGTGCTCGCATTAACTATGTCTCTCACTCAGTTGCCTCTCTTCTACTTTGACACAACAGGAGAGTGAGAGGATAGAACATGTACTTTGGACTTTGAGTCTCTTGGACGTCAACCGAGCCTATTCCACTTGTTGATTTTGTCTCTTTGCCGCATTGACACAACATGGCAGGAGAGAACGATCCAAGGTGTCCCGTGGAGGGGCTGAGGGGAGCAGTGGAGCGAGCAGAGGAGGCATTCAGCCGGGCAGGAGTGGCACAGCGCTTTGAGGTACATGCGAGGCTCTCGGTTTAGTTTTGGCCTCAGTAACCGCGAGTTGCGAGTGCCACCACAGCACTTTGAGGTATGTGTGGGAAGCTCACTGGTGTGGCGTGCCCTGGCTTTCTCACATTGCAACATCCCTTGGGGTTTTCATTTGCTTCACCCATGAGCCCATTATCCTGCCTTTCTCGCTTCTTCAACCACCACCCCCTTTCACCACTTCATGCCCCCACCATCCCCTTTCTCCACCTCCTCTTCTGTATCTGCTGTACCCTTGCATGCGAGGTGCACCAGTTCCATGTGGAGCCTGGGGTGGGGCATGAGATTACAGAGGCGATGTGGCGCAAGGCAGTCGCATGGATGCAGACACACCTGGTGGCGAACTGACTGGAAACCACCCCATTTCTAATCATCTGTTCTCATATATCTGGTGCGGCCTTGCACCCAAGCTACACCAGAACCATGAGGAACCTGGGGTGGGGCATGAGGTCACAGAGGCCATGTGGTGGAAGGCAATCACATGGATGCAGAGACACAAGCGGTGTAATGATGGGGATTCGGGGAACCTCCCAGATACCTACCGGTACCTTTACTCTGGGGCTATTACTGTTTGTAAATACGGTAGTACCGTACGGTCTCTTAATTGCCTGGTCTTAGAGCGTATTCCTATCCTCGTATCAAGAGAACCTCATATCAAGATTGTACCTATTGCCTGGTAAAACTAGCGAGAGGTTTTGGGTTTAGGGGAATTTTTAGTGGGAGGTTGATATGAGGATCTCTTGATACGAGGATAGGAATACGCTCTTAGGTCTTGTGTTGTAGCAGGTGCTATTATCTTTTCACCGCAACCACGTTTGCTTGCTACGCCGTTAATCTATAAAAGGCGGCCCATAGCAAGGGCAATCAGGGCATTTTACCCTTCAATCTTGGGGAGGAGTCCTCTCCCACTCACTTTGCGTCCTCACAATCTAGTACCTCTGGAACCGCATATCACCACCCTCGGCCACTCCATACCCTTCTATGCCGTTCTACTGCATGCCCCAGAAGGCTTGCTTGCAACATTTGGTTGCGACAAGAGGGGTGGAAGGGGGGAGGGAAGATATCGGCCGAATCCCTCCCGAAACCCCACTTTGCAACTGCGGGTTTTCCCTGGAGGGATTTCGTTTTTCCCGCAGTCGCCTAGCGGCGCACGCGCGGGGCGGGAGTCGACCCCCCCTCCCGCCCGAAAACGGGCACCCCCAAGCTGGCGCCGGCTGCTGATGACGCCAGCGACCCGCGCCCTCAAGCTAGTAGTGGTCCCCCCCAACCAAACCCAACCCCACCCTCAATGACGGGTTCCGTCCGGTAACCCACCGAAACCTCGCCGGGAGTCGCCTCGCCGACGGAACACATCCGCGAATTTTCGCAAGCAGACGGAAGCGACGCCCATCTACACCCGCGCTGCACCGCTCTCGCCCTCGACGGGCTCGTTTCGTTTGGCCCTTGACCCCGGTGACGTGTCAAACGCTCCCTCCCTCTCCTTGAAAGGGACCTTTCCGCTGCATGCAGGGCGCCCCACCTCATGCTGTCAAAAGTATAGGCAGGAAATGATTGAACTAGGAAAGTGTTGGGTACAAGTATGAAACCCTAAAAGGGGCTGTACCCCATATTGGCTACCCCACTACAGCCTAAACATATATATCATACGTATAATTTGACACACCCCCATAGGCAAAGTGGGGGAGAGCAAGGGGTCACAAGACCAGTCAAGAGAAGCAAAGCAAGCTCAGGGTGGATCACAACGTCACCACACACACTGAGCACAAGCAAAGGGCCACAAGGCCAGTTCACATGCAGAGGTATATATGCAACAACAACACAGTGATCTCTACCTAGCAGAGCAGGCATGCAGGTACATATATAGATCACAGTACAAGCAAAGTTTACAGCAAGTGAGGAAACGTGGGCACAAGGCCTAACAAAGTGCAGAAACGCTGATGATCACCAGACGGAAGTGCCTTGGTGAATATATCAGCAATGTTGGCCCGAGTGGCCACGTAAGCAAGACGAAGCTGACCACGCTGCTGCAACTCTCGAGCAAGGAAGTAACGCAGAGCGATGTGCTTCGTTCTGTGCTCCAGTCTGTGCTCCTGACACGAGGCAATGGCGGCCTTGTTGTCTACGTACAGAACTGGAGGAGAACGAGGCCGCTCTCCCAGGCCGGTCAGCAGGTAGGTGAGCCAGCGTAACTCCTGTGCAGCCATGGATGTGGCGTAGATCTCAGCCTCACAACTGGAGCTGAGAACAGAAGACGAGCGTTTAGACCGCCTAGAAACAGAGCCAGAGCCAAGACTGAATGTGTAACCCTGTGACGACCGCTGCGTAGCTAGGTCGTCAACCCAAGAAGCGTCTGAGTGACCAGTGAGGACAACGTCGCCCCGTCCTCCAAGCACGAGCCCCATGCCCGATGTACTGCACAAGTAGCGTAGTACCCTCTTAGCAGCATCCATGTGCACCTTTCGGTGTCTACCAGGAGCCACGAAGCGAACCAAAACGCCAAGAGGGTACGCAAGGTCAGGACGAGTGCATGTCATCAGGTACTTGAGGCAGCCCACTAGCTCTGGGTAAGGACCACTCGGCTCTACAGACTCGTCCTAAGGTGGAGCTGAGAGCGAGTGACCTGTAGCCAAAGGAGTGGCCTGTGCTGAGGACCAGGTGAAGCCGAAGCGCTGAAAGACATGTTGCACCATGTGTGACTGAGTCAGTGTGATGGTGCGGCGTGCTCTGTCCCGGGTGATCTACAAGCCAAGGTAGCTACGCAACTCACCTAGGTCTGTGCACGTGTGTCTCTTCTGCAGCTCCGACTTCACCAGGGCGAGAGCCTCAGTGTCAGCAGTGGCAAAGACCAAGTCGTCGACGTACACGTGGATGTAGAACGGCGGCAGCGAAGTGTCGGTGCGCAGAAACAGCGACGCGTCAGCAGTCGACGGAGTAAACCCAAGAGCCGTAAGTGTCGTCCTCAGTGTGTCGTGCCACTCACGCGGCGCCTGGCGGAGACCGTAGTCTGGCCGCCGGAGGCTCCACTAGGTACCAGGAGGGAACGACCCAGTGAAGCCAGGTGGGCGGCGCAGCCAGATCTCCTCGTGCAGGCTGCCCTGTATGAAGGCTGTGCTGAAGTCAAGAGAGTGAAGCTCGTAGTCACGCTGAGCGGCGACGTGCAGCAGCACCCGAAGAGTGGTCATCTTCGGGGTGGGGGAGAAGGTCTAGAAGAAGTCAGCTCCCTCTCACTGACTGAAGCCTCGAGTAACATAACGAGCCTTGAAGACAGGCGGAGAACCCGGCGGCCGCTTCAACCTGAAAATCCACATGCCATCGACGATGTTCGCCCAAGGAGGGGGAACCTCATCGACGTAGGTGCCTGTGGACTTCTATGATGCCATCTCTGCGTCCATGGCTGTCTGCCACTGAGAGGAGTACTCACCCGCGATCGCCTCAGCGTAAGAGCGCGGGG